TTTGATGTCGTACGTTTTCCATTTAATTAAAGGTAATCTTTGACATTCTGCATTTGTTTGCATTATTCGCTTTCTTCTTTCGGTTTGTTTAACTTTCCTGAGTTAGTTTATAATTTCTTGGTGTTTTGGTGGTTTCTTGTTCGCGGCCCGATACTGCGCAGCCGCGAAGTGTATGTTTAATACAACCCGATCCAGGCGGATATAAAAATCCAGTTATTTACACGCCGGGTGTCCTCAACCAATCATAAGGTAGATTGTGGAACACTTGAGAACCTGTCATGGCACAGGGGTGTGTCGATGTAGTTTGGACTACTTTCATTAATGTGTGCAATTATTCTTTGCTGACTTAATCAGGCCAGTTCAGTTTATTGAGGAAAATAGGCTTGAGACTTTAGTAACTTAATTGCAAAGTAAAATTTGGTTCTGTGTGCAGAGAAATCGTATGGGCTGAAATAGTTTGAAGTGGGTCATAATACTATGGCAATTTGTATGTGAGTCTCAAGAGTTTATTTCGGTCTTCCATTACTCTTGTTCATTTCAGAAAATAAATATGTCAAGGTTCCTTTTAAAACTTTCTATCAATGCGGCAAAAACATCTGCGGGGAAGGCATTCCATAGTTTGGCCGATCTGACAGCGGAGAATTTCTGCACTTCCAGGCTTGCTTAATGAATGCACACTTTTATGTGTTTCTTCGGAGTTCGGTTATGGTAGCAAATTCTGAAAAGTCCTCAAAACTCAGACTGCAAATTTATACCCTCATAATGCGAAATGCTCGTAAGAGATCCCCGCCCCGATGCTCGTCACTAAAAGGAAAGTGACTCGGATTTGACATGCTGGCTGCATTGGAGAAGTTGTTTTGATCCCTAAATATTTTCGTCGCTCTCCTTTGGACTCTCGCAAGACAATTAAGATCTTAAACTGTTCATGATCGACAGGCTTGTATGCCATGTTTGAAGTGCGGTCTCACGAATGTTCCGAAAATCTTGGAGAGAAGGTTGTACTGTATCTATTGTTTTTTGTACTTTTAATCGTTCATTACACAACTAGAGTTTTGGTCTTGATCTCACACTTTTGCGCACAGTTCTACTTACAATGACCGATAACGAGTCCAATGCAGACTCCCTCGACATTAATACCCTCTCTTTCAAATCACGCACATTAACGTCGAGCAACCTACCAGTGTTTTCGCCGATTAAGGCCACTTTCTTGACGCGCTGTACCACTAATGAATCGAACAGCTCGCGGCTCACGCAGTTATCGTCTCTTGCGAGGATTTTGGCCTATGGAAACTTGAATATATGGCCAGGTTTCGTGAAATTAGTTGCTATCTATGAGTTGGCGTCCTTCCTCCTCAACGCTGCTGCGTGCTCAGCCATAAGCGTCCAGATTCCTCTCCCAGTTTCTCTGACGTAGTTGCTTTGCTCGCAGCTGCACCAGATACGGTAAGCGACTCCTGACGTTTCCTACCGTGGCAGTGGGTCTTTCGACCTCATGACTTGGGGCATGAAGGTTACTTCCGGCCTGTGTGTAACCCCAAATCCAAATGGAGTGAGAAGTCGGCTAATGGCCTCCGAGACGTTTCTCACGTACGGAAGCGCTCGCCAAAATCTATGGCCGGTTGTGTTTGGTTTCTGGTTTCGCCTGCGTACGCACTGGTTGACAAGGTTGTGTGGTTAGCCATCGCAGTTCAGTAACCCTGTCTTCCATTTCACTTCAGTGCGTCTCAACGCGCCGATATTTCGCTATTACATAACTGCGTTTGTGACCGATGTGGTGGTTTCTGTTAAAATTCAGTAATTGCTTCCTGATTGTCGCTTTCCTAAACACTTTGGCTTTTAGACTACCGCAATTTTACGTCGAACGAGGGCATCCAGAAAGACCAGCTGGTTGTTCTATTTCTCTTCCATCGTAAATTGAATGTCCGGGAAAGCTGCGTTGAGACGTTTTTGAATGCCATCGCCTGACCCCGTTCGACGACAACCAAGGTATCATGATAGGAACGCTCACCGATCGTTCTTACGGAACTTACCCGTTCCGTTGTGCCTTATGGGCTCTCTCTCGGGCCCAACCAACAGCTGCACAGCAGTGCATTATATACACAGCATGGCATTTCCGACAAAGACAAGGGAGACTGGAATGACCATTTCTGGCTTATTAGCTGTCGTCAGCCAGTCGTACCCAACCCCGAAGTGTGGAACACCCGATGCGAGCGCTCCCTACCACTGTATATTCCCAATAGAAAAACCGATAATGCAACGGGCTCGTGACCCAACGGTTAGAGGAGTGGACTTCCAACAAACAGGTCGCGAGTTCGGGCATCGGGTGTTCCACAATTCGGAGTTGGGTATGACTGGTTGAGGACGGCTAATAAGCCAGAAATGGCCATTCCAGTCTCCTTTGTCTTTGTCGGGTAATGCCATACAACCAAGGTATCATTCGCATACTGAGCCCAAAATTTCGGTCTGTGGTGTCGGAGAACGAGCGAATCGAACCGTTGTACGAGAGCCTCGGCTATGAGTCCTGAAAGCAGCGCACCTGCTGGCGCGCGCTTCACTTGCTCGTAGATTGTTCCGTCGAACGTAAAGAACATTTGCAGACAGGACTTAAGGAGTTGATGATTTGAGCGTGCCCGAGGTGATCCTCTGTTTCCTCGTCATTATCACTTAAAAGTAGTTTAATTGTCTCAACAGCCAGGCACTCAGGAATAGAAGTAAAGGAAGACGTGACATCAAAGGATACCGTGACGTCGCTCGGCAGGATTTGTAAATCCTGATCCCAAAGACACTCCTAAGTCAGAAAATCACACTTCTTTCTCGGAAATGTCATCCTGTTGTTACATTACTTGGCAAGCACACCAATGTAAGGCCTCACAAGGCCGCCAAGTGATACATGCCGCAGCGACTAAAACGGCTTAAGAGACACCGTACGTCATCTGTCAAACCAATTCAGCACCATTTGAAAAACAATTAATTGCAGTCAGTCCGCACGAAGTCCAACATGCCGATGCCGACGCAAACAGATTTCGCAAAATGTCAACTGATACCATCGTTCAGAAGACGAAGATGCGATCAGTGGAACACGAAATTTATTGGCCTGACGGTAAACGACTCCAGACGTCTCCTGTCGTGGCAGCGGGTCTTTTGGCCTCATGACTTGGCGCATAATGGTTGGTTCCAGCCTGTGTGCAATCCCAACTCCAAGTGGAGTGAGAAGAAGACTAACGGCTTCCGAGACATTCTTCGAGTACGGAAAAGCCCGCAAAAATTTGGGGTCGGTTGGATTTGGTCTCTGGTGTCGTTTTTGTATGCACTGGGTGACAAAGTTGAGCGGGTAACCATTGGCTCTCGTTGCCCGTCGAAGATATTGTAATTCGTCCGTGTGTTTCATACAAACTTCCGGTCAACAAAGAGCTGGCGAAACGCGCAGTACTTCAGCGCGGCTGACGAATGATCCGAGTGCTCCTTTAAGACTGTCACTCACGGATTCGCAAATAGTTTCAGGGGACTGACCAAGAGCGAACAAGGTGATGCGAGTTCATGGGCGAAGACGACACAAAATTGCTTCAGTAGAGGCCGGCCGAACGAGCCTGCGAACATAAAGCAACACGCGAAGCAGCCCTAGAGAGCAAGTTTGGTAAGCTGCCTGCTGCAATGTCATCCAAGAACGACAAACTGGTGCACAACTTGTCGTCAAAGGAGCTGACGGAGGAACAAATGCAGGTTTTATTGCATGAGGCCTCATTCAACACAGTCGATGCCAAACTTGCCAACATGATCGCAGTAGTGGAATCCATCCTCAGCCAGACGGGAGCGACAGACGAAACGAAGAACCTCCTTCGACACCAAGTGCCCTTCCTCCCTATGGCTCATAGTCCGCGCGACGTGCTTTCCAAGGTCGAGCACGATGCACTTGAGGAACTCAGGGCAGACAACGACCTCGTTATCGTGCCTGCGCACACGGGACGGTCAACGGTCTTATTGGACAGGACAGACTACAATCAAAAATCCAAAAGCTTGTTGGAGGATCGTTAGTCCTATGTCCCATGCGAATCCACCACCATAAAAACGCTAAAACGCAAGAATAACGCGACGCTGTTGGCAACGCCGTCTTCCCGGACATTCAATTTACGATAGAGGAGGAAAACAATCAGCTGGCCTTCCTGGATGTCCTCGTCTGCCGAAAAGATTGTGGTAAACTAAAAACCAAAGTGTTCAGGAAAGCGATAAAAAAGATGAAAATACTGAACTGCAATAGCAGCCACTCCATCAGTCACAAACGCAGTTGCATAAGGGCACTATATCGGCGCCTTGACACGCACTGCAGCAAAATGGAAGACGAGGTTGCTGGATTACAATATTTTCGACAGGTAACGAGAGCCAATGGTTACCCGCTCAACTTTGTCACCCAGTGCATACAAAAACGACACCAGAGACCAAATCCAACCGACCCCAAATTTTTGCGGGCTTTTCCGTACTCGAAGAATGTCTCGGAAGCCGTTAGTCTTCTTCTCACTCCACTTGGAGTTGGGATTGCACACAGGCTGGAACCAACCATTATGCGCCAAGTCATGAGGCCAAAAGACCCGCTGCCACGACAGGAGACGTCTGGAGTCGTTTACCGGATCTTGTGTAGTTGCGGACAAAGCAACTACGTCGGACAAACTGAAAGGTTTCTCCGTACGCGAATTGCCGAGCACGCAGCAGTAGTGAGGTGGGGAGACGTTAACTCTCAGGTGGCGGCATACTCGAGGGGACCCGGCCATATTTTCAAATTTCAAGAGGCCGAAATCCTCGCAAGGGGTAACAACCGCGTGAGCCGCCAGCTGCTTGAGTCATGGTTCTCAGGCCCGCAATCCATCAACATGCGCAATGACCTCCTGGCATCATACTCCGTGCTGAGATTTTCCCTGTGCAGGGTAATCAGTCACGTGGGGAGGACGCGGGCGATCAATTATCCCGATGACAGTGAGCCAATCTGCCGAGCAGTCGCCACACCAGCATCCAGCCCGGATAAAGAAATCACGGCAATTAACGACTCGGACTCGGACTGACAAACCACCACCGCACCAATTACACCCCAGCGGTGATTTCGAGAGCTGTTAATTACAGCGCGCATACGATTCCAAGGCAGCCACGTGCTATAAATACTGCACTCTTTGTGCCACCACCACCTTTATCTGTGAATGTCTCTGATGATGGATTCGAGTGAGAATCCAAAACGTCAGGCCAATAAATTTCGTGTTCCACTGATCGCATCTTCGTCTTCTGAACTGCTACCTGGAACTCGCCTATTCGATTTTATCAGTGATAGCATCGCCTCTGAGCCTCGAAAGTCCGCATGTGTGTTCTATCTTCCACATCCCAAAAGTCGTCACAGCAGTTGAACGACCGAGCCGGTCAGTGACGTCGGCCGCTACAGCTGGCCGGTTGCCATTCGCTCGCCTGTTCTTCATCACTGAAAATACGGGTGGTGTGTGTTTCCTCGCCAGTAAATAAATAAATTATTTTCTACTGTATTCTTGAGGGTACTTTCATCGCAAGTGATTATATATTTCCAAGTGCATTTTGGAACAAGTATACAGATTCTCTGCAGTATTCTGTTCGCGGTCGTAGGATAAGCAGTCAGATATTAAAAACGGCCAACGAGTAGTGAGAAAAACTCCTAATGAATAAGACAAAATGAATATGAATTAGTTAGCTTTCAAGGAGAATAAAACTGCCGCTCATGAATTTGTAAATATACGGGTCGAACCAGAGTGGCCTGCATACGGAATTGTATAAGGGATTTAAAACGAAAATCGTCAAAACAGAATTCCTAAACCGGAATGGGCTATCCGCCGCGAAGTGGCGAGACATGAGGAACCTAGTCGCGATTGGCCACAGTCCGCTTACAGTGCTGCCGAGGAGAGGACACTAAATTCTAGGGCGATCGTTAAAGCGTAGATGGGCGAATGCGACACTAAGACCCCTTCGCGGACAGTTAAAACTACTAGCAAAAACATACGATTCCGCCGTGGTCGACGACAGGTCATTGCGGGTTGAAGTGAGGAGTTGGAATTAAGAACCGCGAAAATCACTGACTGGAGGTGAGGGTTCAAAATCGCAGGGGGCAGAGTGGAATTCTGGTGATTGTCGGCGATTAGGAAAGCTGAGACCGTTTTAAGCGTGCACGTCAACCTAGCCCCGCCATTTCTCTGAGAGGATTTGACGGGAAGGATATCGCGCTCCGTGAAAGACACGATGCATGAACAGAAAAGTCCAAACAATCGAAATTTCTGATGAGAGAGCCTAGAGAGCGAAACCGCACGGAGAGAAGAAAATGTGAGCGGATACGGCAATTTAGTGGTGTCGTCCTAAATTTCAGATGGCCTTCTAGTAGTGTGGTAGAGAATGTTGTCCAGGGAAGGATAAGGAGAATAAGCGTTTATTCGAGTCAGTTTTCAGATAAGAGCGCAGCCTTCGCTTAAAAGTACGTAGATTTTCCGATAATTTCATATCTGTTGGACGGTTATTCGGGAGGAAAATTTACCCGGAAGAGAAAAAAGACAGCGCACAGAGGTGGAGGAAGCGGGAGGAGGCATAATAAAGGAAGAATTTTGAAGACTGTATGGGACGACTAATAGGGGTATGGGCTGCAATCCGAGGAAGATTTGAACCATTGTTAATGAGAACGAGGAGACAGAAGCCTGCTCCTAATCGTTGAGCCCGTAGAAATTTTAGTTTAATTAGCTGGAATCTATGTGAGTAGGAAATATTTGGTTATACCATACTTGCGAGTCTTCTTGTGAAATGTCTTTGAAAATTTTCAATTGTTGAATGACTAGCTTCGTCCATCAAACCAAAGAATGGCCAACAATACCAGAGAATGGGAAGTACGAACGTTCGATAGATTCTTAACTTAATTTCAGGAGGACAGAAAATGTAGGAAATAAAGCCACAAGTCTGGGCAACTTTGGCCTAATTCTGTTGGCGTGTGGCGAGAGATCTAGGTTCACATTTTCTTCCTTTGTCAGTTGTCTCGCTTCCTAAGTTCCCTCACCAGAAATGCTAATTTTTCCAATTTTTCAATTAATGCATCGTGCCCTCACAGAATACGCTCCATCGACGCTCTTGGCGAAACCTTCTGTATTCGCCATTTACTAGTAGTCTGGTCGCATCTCCTTTGCCCCATCCTCGGATGGATTCGGATGAATGTAACCGACCGCATCTGGGTTCCTATCGCCTCGAGACTGGTTTTCATTGTGCCCTCACAGAATGCGCTCCATCGACGCTCTTGGAGAAGCGTTCTGTATTTGCCATATACTAGTAGTCTGGTCGCATCTCCCTTGCCCCATCCTCGGATGGACTCGGATGAATGTAACCGACCGCATCTGGGTTCCTATCGCCTCGAGACTGGTTTTCGATTTCGCCACTTCTTTGCCTTATTCAAGGCCACATACAGGCCAGTCCTGACCGACCCGCCTACTTACCCCTTCATGAAATCCGTTATACAATGCCATATACAGCTGACATTTATTTCGGCCCTGACGATGTCCGATTATAATCCATTCTATACCGTCACATGCAGGCCAGTTCTGCCCGCATTTTTCTGTTCCTATTTTTTTCGAGGGGTTTTTTTTCTCCTGTAAAATTAATCCAATCATTTTTAAATTTTCATGTGGAGTTTTTTTCATCCCTCGCTTATCATTTTTCTTAACAGACTTCTAATTCAAAACCTGTGTATTGCACTTTGTAGAGATTTTGCCTACCTCGTCTAAAATTCGCATGAAAATTCAGTTTTACTTGCTTTGATATGACCCCGACGGGTCTTTAATGAAAATAATTATTAATAATTATTAATTATTAGGTTGTTGGGGTGGTTTAAATCCAAGTCCTTGATGGTGACACATTCAGTCATACGCGTACCATGAAAGACCACTGATTTGAGCAGACCATCGACGTGAGTGGCTCACTTGTTTGCAGATGTTGACTACGCCTAGAGAGCCCAGAGAGCCCTCATCACCAGCTCTTCCATCTCAATCATCGAAGCTGATACTGACAACGTCGAATTCTCGTGTCCGCATTGTCCCCATATATTGACCTCGGTCATCGGCCTGGCTGGCCATTTGCGAACCCACCGCACAGACACTGGCGAACCAGTACCTTGAACACCAGTTTACACTCGCCGCATCCGCCTCCACTACTCACATTGCACTGGCACATTTATTCACCGCATGGGTCTGTTAGGCCACATTCTCGTCCACGAAAATCTGCAGTAGCCAACCGCCGGTTGCACTACACCATCACATCCTCCCTTACCAGCTTCTCACCGCACATCAACATCACACACCGCAAGCACTTAACTGTCGCCTCCCATTCAAGTGGGAAGTGTGCGTCTCGGCTACTTCACCAGGCGACTCCCTGGTACAAGTGTCATCGGAGTCTGAGGCGAAAACAGTGCGCCGAGCGCCGTGGCTCAGAAGGCAGCCAACTTACGCCCCAACTAAGTGCCACTTGAATCGGAGGTAACCGGTTCGTTCTCTTCAACGATGATGTTATCTGAGAAACGCCTGCTTGTGCTAGCCTAATTGCTTAAATCGGTATTTTCTCGGTTCCGCGAGAAATCGGGTGTTGTAGACAATCAGGTTCATTTGAGATACTGGGCTTTGAAGACTGTCTGCATGCAAACACATAGGAGGTAGTTAGATTAACAGTCGATTTGGTGGATGGTCGTGTTTTAAACCTGGCATGAGTTTTTAGGCTTTTATTGGCCCTGAATTCCAGCCTACCGACTTTTATCTTGTGTCCGACATTTTGTTGCTAGACATCAATAGCGATACCTTATAACTCTCTCGTTCTTTTACCAGACCCCTGGTGTTCCCTCGTCCTTCGGAAGATGGAGTTTAGAATGGGTTAAGACCTTCGGGTTATCCGTTTCTACTTCCATCTACAGGAGTTTGCATGGGATGATACGACTTTTATTTCCGCCAGTCACGTCTTCGAAACATACTGAGTTTCTTGTTATATTTAACCGACTAATATTTTCATCGTTG